TATTGTTTGTTGTATATATATATATATATATATATATATATATATATATCAAGTTTCTAACAAAATGTCAACTTATAAAAATTGTTATTAATTGTATTTGATTTGATTATGGTTACATTTGATAACAAATTTTTAATAAGTTAAATTAAAAGTCATCAAAATATGAATAAAAATACGTTTTTATCTATATTTGATTTTGCTTTTTTATCATAAATTAATATCGAAATATTAGCATGGACTAATTTTTATTATCGAAGACAATGCGTGAATAATAGGCAAAAGACTCTTTTTTATTTTAGCCTTCGTAGTTCTCCCGTTCAAGAGATCTACGATCTCTTAGTGCATTCTCTAGCAGTCTCGTTAAATACGCTCTCTTCTATCCAAAACCTCCTTCGTCTTATCCTCTATGTAACAAATGTGCGGTAATACTGTGAGGAATAGAACTGTCGGACATAGAGCGTAGATAATGTGTCAAGATTCTCTCAGTGTTAGTGTTCGACAGAGATATTAACTAACAATACTCGAACGACAGAATGTGCAAAAAATTGTACTTAGTAATTCCAGTATTCGTAAAGAGAGATTTTTAATTGGACTTTTTTTGGTTACTCGAATTTCTTATCATTTTAGCGATTCGTTGTATCTTTTGATACTTTAGAAAAAGGAAAAGGAAACAAGAGCCTAAAAGAGTTGTTGTTGCTTCGAAAGTCATCTCCTCGTCAACATGACGATGCAACGCATTATCGCAAGTACAACACTTTTTCTTCCCCGCGGCAGTTTCCCAAGATAAGCGAATCCCTTCCTAGGAAAATTCCTTTGTTACCTCACGTCGACTGGCCTAGGAGGGCGAACTATCGTTGGAGGACTTCAACAAAAGTGGAGCGTGTATAAAGGCGTGTCGAAACTTGTTACTCGCGCGAGTGCTTCCGTGACTATCTGCCGTGCAGTGCAGTCTTGTACAAGTTGCCTTTACAAGTGGCACAAAAGCACGCGAGAGCTTCTCGCAATCGAGTTTATAACGTGTCCCGCCTAATATAGCCGCGTAACCACAGCCGATGATTACGTCCAAGTTTTGTTTCCCTCTCGGGCACCTTCCCCGTGAAAGAAACTTGTAAAATGCCACGATTAAAACTCGGAAGATCCAATAACGAAGCTATTCATGACTTACGAATATTAAACAATAAAGAAATATAAAGAAAAATACAATAGTGCTAATAAGTCACGATTTAATACTTAATAATTTAATAGCAGTAAGGATTCTAGGTAGGATACCTAGGTAATTATATTTAGCCTATTTAAATTTAGGATCACTTTTTATTGCCAAATCCGTCTTCGATAAACTGATGTTAGGTCATATCATAGCACATGTACTTTAACAAACATATTTTATTTTTTTAAAATAGGCAAAGTTTATAAGAGATCGATTTAAAGGTGACAAATCACAATCACTGCATATTCAGAAATTTCAAGTTAGCTTGAATAATTATGAATTTGAAAAAAATAATAGATCATTATTTATATAGATTATTTAATCAAAGAATAAAGAAAATCAAGATAAAATCAAGAGGAAAAGATGAGCAATAAAATAAACGAAGACAAAGATGATAAAGGAGCACAAATATCACACTCTGAAAATATCTTGTCTTCTCTTCGTTCACTGCATGCTCTTGTTACTCTCCGCAATGTAATTTCAGCATACTAAAGTCACAGAACTTCTACAAGCGACGTAGTTGCAAGGCCAAACAGTGACCGTACTTAAGGTCATGTTACATTTACGAGACTTTATATTATCAAACTTATGTGGTTCGTCTTGATGCAACAACATAACTGGGGGGAATTGAGTTGCGGCAAAACTGCACCTGATTCAATTATATTGTCGGCTTTATTTTCGCTCATCTTTTTAATTACATAGTCGATATTATTCTTGCGAAACTTATTATATAAGTATTTTATATCATTTATATAAATTATTTAGTTTTTTATTAAAAGAAAGATATTAATAGAAAGATATTAAGATATTAATAGAATAAACTTTCAACTTTTCAAATATCTCGCTATAAGCTTTTTTGCAAGATATTTTATCATTGTTTTCCATATCATTGTTTTTTTTTTAATTGTCGAAAACAATTAAAAATAATGCAAAATAAATAAATTTTACATAAATTGTACATTTGTACATTTGTACAAATTTAGTTAGCCTAACTTGTCTATTATTGATTGATTTTTGGACAATTTAGAATATTAAAATTTTTATCATATAGAGATGATTGATAATCTCTCTTTTTTCCTCTTTTATACAAAACATTTTTTGAAAATTTTACTTGACATAATTTAATAATTTAAAAAAAGGAGTAAAGTTATAACTATTGAAATAATTTGTCGCGAGACTCAAATTTAAAAAGTTTCACCATTTCTGAGATGTTCCAAAAATTTCAATTTCCCATAAGGCCCATAAAACGGTTTCAGTTCGCATCGACACCTGTGATCCACCCGTGCGTCCGAGCGTAACTCCATTATCCGTTAAAGAACCCCCTTCGAACAATTGACTTCGCTCCTCACAATGCTTTTCGCTCGAGTTGCTTCGGCACATTTCCGTTTACGATAGCCGTACTCGAAAACGTCGATATAGTCATAACTTCCGCATTCATCGCAGATGGTTCTATCTGTACAGTTTTTTTGCAGTTGTACAATAAATTTTTTTGTATAATATTTATATATCATTTATATAACAATTGAGAAATACCTAAATACCATTATTTATGTAACATTCTTTTTTTGCATAAAAATCAATAGGAAATTATTACATTGCGATTTCACGATGTATCCAACTGACATTGTCTTCTCAACATAAGAAGATGAAACGACCAACAATTTACGAGACCATGATTACGTTTCGCATCGAAATGCCCGCGGCCTATTGTACGCAAAGAGATACGCCAAATGATAAGAAGATCTTATACAGAACTGACAACGCGTCTGTGCAAGGCGGCGAGGACGGAGAGTGAGATTAGGAGGGACGAGGATGCCCGACATGCCGCTGAGCTAGTGGAAAATAGCGTGACGCCTTAGCAGCCGACTTCTTGTCTGGCTTTATTTCAACCGACAATTCCACCTCCGGAATCAACGAGATGGGAATCGGATCGGAGAGCCATGAAATAACAGTCCTGTGGCGCGAAAACGTTTCTTACGAATCAACTTCAGTTAACAATTTCTTCTGCATTAACAAATAAAATATTTTTACGAGCTTATATCAAATATGGTGCGACAAGTTATATAAAAAAATATGAAAAGAAATTAGTCTCTCTGTACTCAGCTTTTTTAAATTTAGGTCATACGGAATTTCTTAGATGTTCATCTGAAGAAAAGTTTAACACCTCTAGATGTCTTTAAAGATCCATAATAATTTCTTGAATTTCTTGAATCAAATTGTGCTATAGAGATAAAAAAAATCTTTTATGACTCCGTTATTGCTCTCTATCAAATTTGTCAGATAAATGAATGAGAAAAATATACAATGATACTTGCCCAGTATTAATCGCCAACAAGATTTTAAGATCGTTTGACACGCTAGATTTCAAGCATCTAAATTGAAGCGGTAACAGTGCGGATAATCAAAGTTCGCGTGTAAAATATCAACAGTTCATCGGATCTGCACACCGTGGCACGCATGTTCATGAATCCAGGAGAAGTATGCCTGAATTGTATCGCGTGCGCACGCGATTACGAATATCATTGCAATCATACGAAATGTGCGTATGTAACATTTTCATTAAAACTTGCTACCATTATTAGTAACTGCGCAATTAAATGAAATACGAACAAGATATTGCCACAAACAAATGGAAGATGTAAAAGAGGGTAGAAAGAAAGAGAAAGAGATAAATAAGCAGAAAGATAAAGAAAAAAAATAAAAATAAAGAAAAACGAGAGACAACAGAAAAAAGCGGAAGAGACAAGACTGTGATATTCGAGATGACATTTTACTCTCAGAGAGTAGGACACAAATAGAATAATTGAACGTAAAATTAGACAATATTATAATATATTTTATAAAGATATATATGTATAATGTAAAATTATCTAATTTTACGTTTGAATATTTCATTGACGAAAACAAAATCTGATTGTGTGTTATACTCAAATTATTCTTCAAAGCGGTCTTTATAAGAATGTAACGTCACTATGTTCTAAGTAAGCAAATCAATCAAGCACGTCTAACAAATTACAAAATGATGGCACCACCCACACAATAGCTAGTAAAATTGTTTTCATTCTTTAAAATTGATGATCTCATAAACTAAAATAAGCTTTAACATATAAATCACATGTAAGTTTT